TGAGGTTACCATGGGCAGGAATACACGCACTGGATATGGGACGACAAGTGACGAGTCCGTAGACAGCCATGGAGGAATGAGAAACCGACGAAGATATAAGGTAGGGAAAGGAGGACAAGCAGGGTCAAGCCTGGCGATCCTCAGACTGCCAATTTGGTGAGCAAAGGGCAATGTTGAGATGAAGCACCAGGGCAGACACGACCAGTCTGAAATGAAGAATACGCTGGCCGGGCTGCGGTCCGGGCACCATATGAAGCCCACCTCGCTACTCAGTGCTCAGTGGTGGACTCTCGTCAGGACTCAAGTGCAACTTGCAAGGGGTTCAAAGATTGACCTCCTAAGGTAAGCCAGGTAAAGAGGATCAGGGATAGTCCAATCTCTGAACTTTGGCACAATTGATTGACCCGACGGGAGTGCCGGTCCAGCCAAGGGGCACCTCCCATTACTTAAGAGACCATGCCTCATGGGTACCTTTACCCATATCAGGTGCCTTAGCTAAGCATGCAATGTCTCCAAAAAAGGTACAAGCACCAATTACTGGTGCCTCGATTGTTGCCTCCCGCTTTCCAGCGTTCCTCGCCTACCTCAAATAATGGAAGACATGGGGCCGCGATGACATCTTTGCACATTCGCTGCGATAGTCGCATCTACAATGCCAAAAGACATCATATGTTGGCTAACAAATACCAGCATTGCTTCCTCGTCCCTTGGAGTCAATGACATGTGCAGTGATCCCGTCACCGACAAGGATCGTGTTGCGACGGCCAAACCCAGTCACCCAACCTACAAGTAAGCGGCTGCCTGAGCCTGCTCCCTGCCAACTCCAAGGTGAGGCAAGGCCAGCCGTGCTGTTGCATGCCTTATCGCTCGCTCACCTGCATTTTCCTGAACTTCGCTCCAAGTCTCCATCCTCCGGGTCCCCGAGAGTGTCGCGATTCTATCGCTACAACAACCCCCATCATCGCAATTGACCCTCGGTCGCATCGCCCACATCCATCACTCCCTGACGTCGGGCTGAATTGACGTCAGTAATCTTCCACACCCGACTATCACAATAGGCTTTGCTCGTCGCCATGCGGCCTCACGTCGTCTTGTCTTCGCTGGCCAGCGTCGCCATTCTGGTCCCCGCCGCCTCCGCTGCACGTTTCGACGCATACCCCGAATATCGCCACGACGCCTCCGCTACTGCCGTGAGAGCCAAGTCTGACCTCTTTCCCTTCCTGAAAAGACTTCGGAATGGCGTCGTCGAATTCATCTTCGGACCCCATCCTGCCAAAGCTAGCCACCTGACATCCCACGTCCGAACAAGCCTGCGAGACGATCACATCAATGAGGTCGTCTTGCGCTTCAATCTCACCACCGCGGAAGAAGAGTCTGCCTTTGCCGCCGCCGCCGCCCGTACCTTTCTAGACATTTGGGCCTTCAACCATGAATTCGTCGATGTTCGAGTTCGCCAAGACAATGTTCGATCGCTGCTTGGGCTTCTGCCCGACTCTCTGAAATCAGCTTACTCGACGTTGATATCGGATGTAGCAGCCGCTGTGTACGACACGTATCCTGCCGTCGATGTCCCGGCTCAGACTTACCGCATCCCCGATGGTCGCGCAAACCTCAAGAATGCGCAAAACGGGAATGAGAACTATTTTTTCCAGGATTACCAGAGGCTTGATGTTTGTGACCTCACGCCCGTGCAAGCACTGCGGAGTTCAAGCTAATACGTTCTAGACAATCGTCCAATGGATGCGCTTAACCGAAGCTATGTTCCCAGCCATCACCGAAGTTATAACCATTGGGCAATCCTCTGAACAACGAGATATTCTCGGTCTCAAGGTTGGCATGAAGACCCAGGCGCCAGGCAGCGAAAAGCGGAAGACAGTCGTTGTTGCGGGAGGGATGCATGCAAGAGAGTGGATTTCCACGACAACTACCAACTATGTCGCTTGGTCATTCATTACGGCCTTCGGCAGGGAGCCCATGATCACCAAGCTGCTGGAGCACTTCGATTTCATCTTCATCCCGGCAGTCAACCCCGACGGTATCGAGTACACCTGGACTACAGATCGACTGTGGCGCAAGTCCCGGCAGGAGACGGGTATGTCTTGGTGCCACGGTTTCGACCTCGACCACGCCTTTGGCTATGAATGGGGCGACTACTCCGAAAACGACCCTTGCTCTGAGAGCTATGGCGGTAAACAGCCATGGCAGGCTGCCGAAGCCAGAGCTGTAGCACTCTGGGCGAGGAATGCGTCCTTGGAGGATACCGAGTTTATTGGTCTCATTGACCTGCACTCCTATTCTCAACAGGTGCTATTTCCCTTCGCATACTCCTGCGACGTCGACCCGCCCAATGTCGAGAACCTCGAAGAGCTCGCTGCTGGGCTTGCCAAGGCCATCCGTCTGTCCAACGGAGAGCTGTACTCGGTCACATCGGCGTGCGAAGGAGCTGTCGCAGGACGAGGCTCTGCTCCAGGTGCTAAGCGTCTTGAGACAGGCGGTGGATCGGCCATTGACTGGTTCTATCATGAACTGCACGCGCATTATAGTTACCAGATCAAGTTGAGGGATACCGGCAGCTACGGCTTCCTTCTTCCCAGGGAAAACATCATTCCCGTCGGCGAAGAAATATTCAGCGCGATGAAGTACTTTGGAGACTATCTCCTTGGCAACAACGGAATCGAGAAGTCCGTAGGAGCCTTGACACCAACATCCGACGAACCGGATCGTAGTCTGGAGCTTCGACGACTCAGAAAGCGCAAATAGTTAGGCAGTCAAAAGGATGGGCTTTGAATCTTTATTTTCAAGCTTCATCTACTCCGTGGCTCTTTCTGGGAAAAACAAGCCAGAAAGCAGCAGGAGAGCAAGAGAAGTCAGTGGTGGGACACAGCAACCAGGGTGTACGACATGGAGTTATGGCGATGGTGGGAATTTGGTCAGGTATAATATTCACGGTTGTACGCAGCGGTTATTAAAGCAATGGGTCGGTTCACTGGGACATTACTGTGGGATACCATAGTCGTCTATTCCCAATATTCTTTGTATGATTTTACAGCGACTAGTAAAGCAAGAGATTGGATCGTATTCCATAGACAGCGTACCGAGGTGCAAAGTCTCCTTTACCAATTCATAATCATGGCGAGAGCGGTGTATGTGGACGTGAACTTGAGTGCGGTGTCGAAGAGGAAAGAACCAATGGAGCCACTGCGCATTCACATGGGAGTTAGCAAGGAGTTTCTCTGGGCTGGGGAGACCAATTTCAAGAAGGCGGAGAGGAGAGAGGTCTTGGGGGCAAAAACGCACCGAGTCCGGCCCTTGGGGCCAGCGCCGCTTGTGTAGCCAAAGGCGTAAAGGATACGGGACAGGGTCCAGCCGGCGCCGAGGACGGCGCTGGCGACGGGGAAGCGGAGGCCGGAGATGAGAAGGGCGCCGAGGAAAGAGGGCTGGTTCTCGGTGAAGTTTGCGTGGGCGCGTTGTGCTGTGATTATGCGTTACCGTTAGTGATTCCGGCTTCTCTATTCCTTCCCTGTCTGCTTCGATAGGAAGGGAACAGAGGGGCAGAAGAGGCAGGAGGAAAACCGTACCGCAGTTGAACTGGTATGCCTTGGGGTCCTTGTCGGCCTGCTCGTTGGAGGCGTAGGGGGCCGGGTAGACGAGGCCGCTGGCCTTGCGGTACTTGCTTGTCAAGAGGACGTGGGTGGTGTTGATGAAGAAGGTTGAGGCGGCGACGAGGAGGACGTAGCTGTTGGATGGAATTTGGTTAGCTACCCTGAGCTTCAAAGGTATCTGCTTCTATCTGTGGAGAGGGAAGGCAGGGAAAAAGAGAGGTAGAGAGAGTCCGCAATACGTACCCGTACTCGTCGGGGACCTGGAGAGTGAGAGGCATGATGGCAATAGGGTGATTGAAGGGAGAGGTGGTTAGAATGAGCTTGCTGGATTACTGATCTGGGTGTTCAGGCAATTGATCAAAGTAAGGTTTGGCGGGATGCGACTTGGTTGTGTGTACAGGATTGACAGGCAAACGGCTACGCAATGACCATAGTCTTTATATTTACTAGTATGCGACCTTTAAGCTACGTAAGGAACGTGTCCTTGCCTGGGGGGTCGTGTCCGTTTAGCTCGAGACGCCAGACGTTTTGGTCCGGGCTTTCTTTCTCCATGGGACCATGTTCAGGTCCAAAAGAATTGAGGTGGTCCTCCGCTCCGCTCTCTATCCCGGGCTACCTAATCGTATCCTGAGCCCCCTTGTGTTCTAGGCTGGGCAGACTGTCGTGCCGTGGCACCGAGCCTGCCATGTTTTCCGTGTAGGCGGATACAAATGCGTGTACCTCGTGGTTGGGCGTAGCCCTTGGAGGATGCAAGAATAGGATTGTCGGGGCATCTCAGGGGTGGAGGACGGCCACATTTTGAGCCCGATTGCCGATGATGGCTGCGATTGACCAATCACTGTCTGTCCGGCGAGCTGTGAGCGGGGCTGTTTTGACGTCCCGTTGTGCGGACTTTGATGCGGACTTTGGACTCACCTTAGTAATTGCTTGCTTGAGGAAGAAAGTGCATGAGATTCTTCCGCAGCGTACGGAATCATTGTGCTGCCTTGGAGATTCCAACGACAAATGTGTGAAAAGGAAAGTGAAGTTATTCCCATAATAACACTACCTTACATTGAACCCTGCGCTGTTGCCCAGACGTAAGTTTCTTATAAGTGATTAAGGTTGATAGCGTTTCGGGACTTTTGCGCGTTTGGCAGCTCTTCTCTCCCAATAAGATGCTGACGGGGAGTTAGCACGCAATTTTAGTACCGGCTTCGCCATGTGATCGGCCCCTAGGGTCTCTGGGGTCGATGATATCTATCCGTACCCAGGACTATTACCACGAGCTTGCCAAGGACTCGGGAGGCAGATAATCTGCAGCCACTTCCGAAGGCGCCGGTGACGGTAGGCGAGGTTCCAGAGTGTCGGGTCAACCGGTGCTAGGTCCATTCAATGTTTCTCAGGCTCTGTAACGATTCAGCCGGTGCACCTGTCCTCGGGAGGAACCCAATCGAGGCCCAGACCCTGGAAAACCCTTCTCTCGGCTGTCAACATGTCCGGGGCCCGCCCGAGATCGCTGGTCTCTAGGTCGACCCAACTACCGTCGAGCCGGCTTCGAATTCCACTGCTGTCAAACTTGTAGCTCTTCTGCTGCTTGCAATACCGGCGCAGGTCTCGTTGAAAAGTCGTCTCTCCGCTCCAGCCCAGGACAGCGCATCCAACCGTCTTCCAAGGACTGATGATGATGTCTACCCGCCGGTGCGGCCTCTCTTGCGGCCCTTTTCCACTCGTACCCGGTTCCTGCCAAACTACGAGTGCTTTGTCGAGTGAATCGAAGCCGCTTCCCCTAAACTCGTTCCCCTTCCAGCTGACGGGCTGCTGACCCCTCTCGCTATTATGTTTACTCAACACGAGGGTGTGCGTTATATGCCCAGTCTTTTCCAGGCTCATGACCAATTTGTCGACAAAGTTAAAAGTGACAGACTCATCCGGGTGACTTATCACCACATCGACGTCCCCACTACCTTGCTTGCCACGCCGGTAGCCGCCAACAATGACAAGCTGAAAGTCCGGGTGAAAACTGCGGGCGTGAGCCAGGATCGTGTCAGTGATGGACTCGACTTCAGTTCGAGGTATCTTAAGCTTGAACTCGTCGTAGTACTTGACGCCAATTTGCTGCACGCGACTTAGACTTGCCCAGCCATGTTCGACAACGTCGTCCAAGTCTCGCCATCCTGTAAATGCTGGTCAGCAGCATGTTCTGGCTCAAGAAGGCAGCAACACAAACCTCTGCTGTAGAAATCACGAGCCGTAGCATCACCAACCCCCCAAATATCGTAGAATACCTGTATAACGGCAAACTTGGGGTTCGCCTGGGCTTCATCCGCCTCGGAAAGCCTACCATTTTCTTTCCACTCATGCCACAGCTCGGCGATCTTAGCGCCGCAGCCGGGTAGCCTCGCAACTTCTATATGGAACATTAAAATATGCCAGGCATTGATCGAAGTTCCTCTCAGCAATTGTGTGCTCACCTTGCGAACTGGCTATCTTGTGAGGATATGCCGATATTGTAGCTATCGAGGTTGAGTATGCCCTCACTCCTATTTGGTCGCCTCCTAGTTTCCGTATGGTTCTGATTGTCTTGAGTCCATCAATGAATGCTGCATTTGGAGGATCAACGGGCGTAGATCTTTGGCAAGCATACGTCGTTCTGAGATACTGGGGAACAGGTGGCAACTTCAGTGTTGAGGCGTTCTCCGAAGTTGTCTGTCTGATCAACGAAGGCACTGACCGGTGCATCCCGATAGGAGATTGCGCCTTCTTCTTCTGCGGTAAAAGACTGCCCTGTGTTTGAGACGCACTGTCGGCGGCAGCGCGGGACAATATGTCACTTCCCCTAATAGTGACAGGCGCGCGGTCTTCCTCCTTCTTGATGCCCATATAGAGAACATAGTCATGAAGCGGGAGTACCTTGTTCTGCGCAAACGACTCTTGGAGCCAGGCCAGCTTCACAACTGTGACAGTGTTCGTATTGACGGCGGCCCCCTCGGGAGCTGACGATGTTCCGACGAACTGCGATGTGCCGGATCCAAACCTTTGTCCATCTTCCGTGTACACGGTAGAGTCGCTGTCACTTTTAGAAGATGCCCTCTTGCGCTTCCTAGGCGTGACGAGATGCGTATCTGCGACAGCCGCTGCATCCACCGGATCTGTCAGTACCTTCTTTCGCCTGAGTTCAAAAAGTGCCCTCTCTCGTTTGAAGATGTTCCCGACAATGATCTCGGCCTCGCTAATGTCGTATGTCAGACTCGGGATTCTTCCTTCGAGCTCATGTAGCTGATCCGCCTCTAGGTGAGTGGGAAGGAGATAGATCGAGGGAAAATCGAGATCTGTCATAGCCCCTAGCCAGAGTTGGCGCGTGAGTTGCTGCAAAGAACGACTATGGTAATGCGAGAAGGCCGACCTTTTGTTCGGTTATGAGTGATATGAATGCATTGTAAGTCGTCCAGTGGCTGTCATTCGTGCGATGTGGATGTCGTTGGCAGGGTGTGAATGAGAGTACTTCCCCACTGCCCTTGACTGGTTCTCCTGCTGAAACGGCTGGAGGGTTTGCTTTGCACTTGCAATGCGACTGAAGCTTGTCGCGGGGTTGATGTGGAGGGAAGAGCAAATGATTTTTCGGACGCTGCGCGCTGTCGGCGATTCGTTCAAGTCAAGGCGCTGACATCATCGTCCCTGTACCATATGATTTAGTACGCATCACGTACTTCTGCCATCAAATCTCTCCTCAGATACGTTTCTGAATTAGCCTTTCTGGTCCAAGGAAGAATTTCTCATTCGTGCTCCATTTGCCAGGCACTCTACGTATTTCCCGTTTGTGTATCCTATTCTTACAACAACGAGATGCTTCCGCGAGCCTGAGAGAAGAAAACTTGAGATGCAAGGGGCGGCGGGCAATACCACCAACCTTCATCAAACCCTCGGCCACTCCTCCGTCGTCGTGCGGAGTTTCTTCAGGCCATTTCTTCGTCAAGGCACTTTGATGCTTCAATGTCTTCCTCGTAACTCTAGACATCCTCAAACTCCATGTCTTCGTCACTCTCGCCGTCATCCCCATCCGCTGGCGCTTCCACCTTGACCTTTTTGACTGCTCTTCCTTCAGACTCTGGCGAGGGCTCAGCTTTGATAGCCGGCGCCGGAGTTGCGATGCTCGGTGTGACATCTTCAAAGGCGTCTTCATCCTCATCATCGTCGTCATCTTCCTCCTCCTCCATTGCTCGTGCTGCCTCAGCCTCTTGCTCGGCTTTGAGGCGGGCGAAGTAGTCATCCAGCTCTGCATGTTCCGGATTGTCTGCTGACTTTGACAAAGCCCCCTTGTCATCCACCTCCTCAACCTTGGTGGCGGGGATTGGATTGGCCTCGGCAGAGAAGGACTCGCCAGTGACCGTACTGTTAGACATCCACGAAGGAAGTGCATTTTGCTGTGCGACCTTCTCCTTGCGGGCCTTCTCCGCTGCCTTCTCAGCCTCTGAAGGTCCGTCCGCCGTTGAGATGCTGACTGACATAGACTTGGGCCCAACATTATCGAGACCCTTGACTGATGTTGGCTGCAAGGATGAAACAGGGATGGTGGTTACGCTCTGGTAACTGGCGTCGCGGACAACTGGTAAGGCTTTACTGATTGCGATATCGAAGGTATTATCTGGGACAATCATCTCGTCTATGCGCGGCAACAGTTCGGTGATGAACTTGAACTGGTTATTTAGTCGTGTCGACTGCTCGTGGCCTGTGGAGTTGCGCTCGAGATCGTGCGTAAGCGGACCATTGCACCGGTGACAGACAAAGCCAGTAGGGCCAACGTTGTCTAGCACCTCCATTTGCGTCCATTCTGATTTACACCGTCCACAGAAGTATTCCTTGCGTTCGCTGGCCGGCACCGTGGTGCCTTGGATTTGCTTGTCGACTGTGTATACACGCCATTTGATGGCGTCAATCGTTTGGCGGTAGTCAATGTAGTAGTAGGTTCGATTGACAGGACGTGGCTTCGCCTCGGGATTCTTGGGATCTTCTCGATATTCTAGTCTCGTGTACCTAAGTAGTCGCCGTTGTCAGTCTCTGGAATCGCAGGAGAGAACTCAGGCGCAAGGCTTACACAGCTAGAAATCGGTCTTCTCTAAGCTTTCCACACGCCTTGTGGAGATCCTTTGTGTTCGTTGCCATCAGATACGCCAAGTCATCGTCTCGGAGGCTGTCGCAAGTTAGCAAATGTCGTGCTGGAAAGCAAGAGCGGCAGACGCACGCAGAGTGAATGATCAACGCATCAATGATCAAAATGAAGCGCGTTTCGTAGAAGGCGCGCATAACAGACTTGACGAGAGTTTTTGCGAGATCCAAAGGCTGCGCCATATTGTTGACTGATTGTCCAATTTCGCAGGGAAATATTGAGTGATGATGCTTTCTTTGAGGTGTGGTGAGGCCGAGAGAACGTTTGCTTGGCGAGCTTAGGAAGTGAAGTCCATGGCAGGTGGGCTTTCAGCAGCAGCGGCTTGCACTTGCGCATGCGCTTGCCACCAGCAGAAGGAGGCCTGTCTTTACTGCGATTCGATCGAAGGCAGAAGTCTCGAAGTGGTCAGCCTAAGGACATTGTCTTGCGAAAAGCAGAGGTGGGATTGCGCCGTCTTTCACAACTGCGTAGTCGAATTGCACTTTGTCTTTGGAGAAAAGATCTAGGCAACTCGCTGATACTCTGGGGCGGGCCTAAGGTAGCCGCAGGTTGTAAGGCAAGGTACCTAGCTCTTGCCTACCCAGCTTCTTCTAGGTATCGGTAGCGTACGGGGTATTCGTAAGTACCTTGCCCCGTACCTTGCAGGTCTTACAGGCATCCACTTTGAGCACAGCGCACTTTCGCGGAACAGTACCGCAGTGCCTCACAGAGTTAGTTACGGAGTACGAAATACGCAACAGCACTGCAAACGTAATATCTCGAGTCTGAAGTAGGACCTTCGTAGATTTGCCTCAAACAACGATTCGCTCTCATACGATAGGCGTGCCGGACCAGTTGACAATAAGGCTGCCGTCTATCATTCACTCAGAAAGGCAGGCCATGGAGAAGAGATCACTCGGAACACGGCAATGCAGACCATTTGATTTCCAGCCAAATCAGCAGGAAGAATAGACGCTAGAATAAGAGAAACCATCCATTGACATGAAGTTCAACGTTCCACCGGCCGTGTGACAGTCCAAACTCCATTTACGGCCCTGCCGGTTCTGAGCGTGGCCGCGAAGCTACCCTTGAACCGCCTGAGCAAGCTGGGATTCAGGATATGAGGCAGCTGTAGAGAGCTGACTTACACTCTCCTCCTCCAAATCAAAATTACCGAAAAGCCCCAAGAACGCAGAGCTGGTATCGTAACTCGTTCCTCTACTTCCCGCGCCGGGAGCCCCAGAGAACCCACACTGCATCGCCCAAATGTACTAGGTTCATCCTCTCCTTTGTATATGCCTCAAAAAATCTCGCCGTCTCCTGTCTTACGCATACTTTCGAAGCTGTTTCCTAGTCAGTGATGGACTCGCAATTGGTTGTGGTGGAGAACTTACATCAAGAGTCAGCGCTCTAGAACTGTTGACTTCTTGATCGCGATAAACACCGACCAAGCTCTCACTGTCTTGGAACAAACCGGTCTTGAGACTGATGACAATGAACTGCATGCCGGGTCCAGCATGCTCGCGGATGTACTTCTTGATCTTGTCGACATTGGCGTTGTCTAGCGCAGCGTCGACCTCATCTAATACGAAGAACGGACTTGGCTGGTAGCTGTGGATTGCAAACAACAGAGCGAGAGCAGCCATTGTCTTTTCACCTCCGGAGAGATGCTCCATGTCTCTGAACCGCTTCAGCGGCGGCATGGCGTGATACTTGATACCTGAAAGGTAGGGCGTGTCTGTGTCTTCCTCAATATCGAGGTACGCTTGGCCACCGAGAGGGTACGCCTCTGATCGAGTCAGGTCCTTGTAAACGTGCGAGATTTGTTCTTGGATGTGCGTAAAGGCCTTGTTGAACAGCTCATAGCGCTGAGCCTTGACGTGATTGAACGCATCGCGGGCCGCCTTAAGCGCCGCTCTGGAGTCTTCGAATTCCTTCTCCGTGTTCTTCAGCCTCGACTCGACGCTCTCGAGCCTCTCAATCGCCCTCATGTTGGGGTTGAGCTTCTCAAGTTCTGAGGCCAGAGATGCAATCTTATCCTGCAACTTCTCCTCGACACTGGCATCATCAGACTGCATTGAGTGTCAGCAAATATTCACTAGGCTTCGTTAGAAAGGATTTGCTTACCGTCTTCATCTCCTCGTCTAGGGCATCGTAGTCGATCTCGATGCCATGGTTCTCGAGAGCAGCCGTCATCATGTCTTCGTCGTCCACCTCCTCATCGACGTCCATGGCATCGGCATCTTGCCGCAGCATATTGTCCTCATTTGGCAAGTTGTCAAGCGAGCCCTCGAGTAAAGGCACCTGGATCTGGTCAAGTTTGCATCGCCTGAGCAAAGCAAACTTGCCCGCGCTGTTCTTCTGCACCACAGTCTCGAGAGCATTGATTTCTTTTTGCCTGGCGTCGATTTCCTTGCTTCGCTTGTGTACTTCAGCCTTGGCTTGGGAGACCTTTTGGCTCTTCTCTTCCAATTTGCCACGGTACTCCTCGAGCGTTTCGCTAAGCGCATCGAGCTCGTCAGAAATTTCGTGACTGGAATCCTCAATGTCTGACTTCTCCCGTTGATAACTCTGTAGGTCGCGCTCAGCCCCCTTAAGAGTTTCTTGCAGCTTCCTAAGACGTTTTTCCAGGTTGCTATGCATGTCACGTGCCAAAGTGAGTTGACTTTGGAACCTAGACTTTTGCACCTCGAACTTGGTCCGCTCTTCGTCGGCTTCCCGTTGCATATCGCGGTGTTCTGTCTCGTAAGCCCGGATGTCGCTGAAACCGAGCCTCCTACAGAAGTCCGAGAAAACCTCATCCTCCACTTGTGCAATGGCATCCGAGAATTCTTTGACCGTTCGTTTTGTGGCTTCCAGTTCCGCCTTCTTCTCCTCGTACTTGGGGTCGAGCTCGTCAAGCTGCCTCTCCTCGTTGTCCCTCTCTCTCTTCTTTGAGTTGTAGTTCTTTTCCAAGTGCGCCAGCTCAGCCTTGGCAGCGGCCAGACGGGGTTCGAGGCCGTGGATCTCAATCTGGAGAGACTCCTCGGCAGCGCTACGCCGACCAGACTTGGGAAGTTTCTCGATTTCCTCCTTGTATTTGGCTGCCATCTTCTTCAGAGGCTCCAAGTCAGTGTTCTCGAAACGCCTCTTTCCACCCTTGTCCTGAGGACCACGACCACCAGTCATCATCCCCGTCTTGTGGATGACCAAGCCGTCCAGAGTGACCGTTTTGACAGGGATACGCTTCTCGTACGAGATGACCTTTGCGATCTTCTCATTATCACACACCACAGAGCTGCCACAGGCGTATGCCATGGCACGTTCGTAGGCAGCATCAAAGTCGATGGTGTCAATAGTCAACCGGGCTCCCGAGATGCCCTTAATGGCCGAGTTCACCGCGTTGACCTTGATGTTGTCGAGAGGAATGAAGGTCATGGGCGGGAAGCGCTGGTCCTTCAGGTACTGAACACACTCGTGGCCAGTCTTCTCCGTGTCGACAATGACTGAATCGAAGTCGCGGCCCAGTGCAATACCAACAGCCTCATCGAATTTCTTCTGTTTGGGCTTGCAGAGATCACCGATCCTTCCCTTGACGCCAGGATAGAGTCGCTTCAGGTTGTTGACCATTTCTTTCATCCTGGCTTCCCTGTCATTCTGTCTGCGCCCATCATCGGCCTCCCGCAGTTGCTTGGCCACAGTTTCAAGCTTTTCCTCTAATTCTGTGCGTCTTTGGCTGGTTCTAACACGCTCAGACTGGATTTGATGGTACTGCTTCTTTTTCGTGTCGATTTCCTGAGACAGTGCCTTGATGTTCCCCTCGGTTGATGACTTGCGCTCACCGAGAGTCTCCAATTCACCCTCGTATTTCTCTAGGGCGGCCGAAAGGGTGTCAACCTTGCCCTTGAGGGTATTAACGGTGACCTCATCAGTTTTTTGTTGGCGGATCAGATTGTCAAGTTTGCCTTGGTTGCCAGCGACCTTTTGGACAACCTGTGAGCGAAGTGAGTTGTACTCTTTGCGGTCGTCGTCACTGAGCTCCTTGCCCAGCTTCTTCATTCGTTCTTTGAGTTGCTTCTCGAAATGTTGCTGGGCTTTCTCGGTTGTCTTGAGTCGGGCCTCGTCTTCCTTGATGACCTCGGCCTGCTTGTCGCGCTCTTTACGCACCGGCTCCATTCGCGAGCGACCCTGTTCAATGTTGCGGGTCTTTTCCTCAATCTTTGCGTCAATGGGGATGAGCCGGTGCTCCAATTCGTCGAACTCGCGCTTCTTGGCGTTGATGGCTTTTTCCACTCCATTGACATCCTTTGCCGCCGCTTGCTGCTCTTTCTGGGCGACTTCGAGTTTCCGTCTGAAGGATTCGACGTTGCGCTGAAACTCCTGCAAGTTCTGTTGGTGGTCGTGAATTTGCTCAGTAGACTCATCCATGCCACGTTGAAAGTGATAGAGCTTCCACAGAGCATGTTTGACGATGGCTTCGTCTCTCTCGTCCGTCTTCTTCTGGAAGTTGTCTGCCTCCTTCTTCTGTTCCTGATATTGCTTGATCTCGGAGTTGATGCCGCGTCTTCGGTGAAGCTGAAAGCTTTGGTTCTCAGCAGCTTGCTCAGCTTCAGTCTGCAATCGTTCGTATTCAGCCTTATACTCGAGACTTCCGGAAATTTGTTCAATCAGTCTCGTGAGGTCTTGCGGTGATTGCGCGGCAATAGCCTCAACATCTCCTTGGAAGACAAGGAAATTTCTAGCCTTGATCAGGATGTTCTCGGATTCGAGCGCTTCGTTGTACTGCTGGGCTGTGACAACACGATCGTTGATGCGGTACTCGCTAGATCCCTGGTTCGTGATGGAGCGCTTCCACTTTTGCTCGTCACCGGCATCGTCTTCGTATACAGCCATGACCCATGCAGTCTTTGGATCGGTCCTGGAGGCTTTTTGCGACAACTCGTCTCCGTCGCCGTTCGAGTGACCATTACTGCCATTCGCTTCAGCAGAGCCGTCGTCGTTGATTTTCGAGGTTTTCAGCACGCGGCCACGGTAGACCAGGTCCTTCAAATGGGCTGATCGAAGATGCGACGACTTGATACCAAGCACGAAGGATATCGCGTCCATGCTGTCGAAATATGCACATTAATTGCAAGTCAAGGCAGCGTATGCGATGGGGAGGACTCACGAGTTTGACTTGCCGGATCCATTAGGCCCAATGATGGAAGTGAAGTAGGAATCACCGAACAAGAGGATATGATGGCCCTTGTAGGACTTGAAGTCTATGGGGTGACATGGTCAACGCGAGAAAGACATGTAAAACGATGCTGGACTTGGACATACTGAAAAGCTCTAGGCGGATGAGTTTTCCCATCTTGTCGACGGGTTGTCGCTAGGCACGCGACGAGGATTGATACTGGGTGTACGGTTGTGGTGGGCTTGGGTCGCGGCTCGTCGCAAACGCAATGCGGCGCGCAAGACGAGGGGGGAAAAGGTCGAGGCGGATGGCCAAAGGCCTGGAAAGCGGTACTAGATTGGTCGAGGTGTAGGCAGAGACTACGTTATACAGCAGTAGTCAAGTCGAGTGTTGAGGGCCTCGAGCTGGCCTGGCGCATCGCGAAGAAGCACTCGGAAGGGATGGTATCTTGTCTGTCGACAGTGAGGTCGCGGTGGTTGAGTCTACTTGGATTTCCCCACGCGCGTCTGAGTGCTGCTGCACCTTGACGCGACAGGCAAATAATTACGGGCCACACACTTGAGGCTGCTACGCGCTGGTGGGAGCGCAAGCCACTCTTAGCAGCAGGTAGTGGCTCGACATCTCACGTGACCCAGCGGAGACTGCAACTAAGTGCTACCTTAAGCTAGGTACCTACCTTACCTTAGGTATTCGTGGGTACCTCTCTTGGTACCCAGCCGGAAGTGTACGGATGCCAGGTATCTAGGTAGATAGCAGTACCCAATACCCAGGAGATGTCAGCTGCAGCCACTGGGAGTTTTTTTGGTTCTAACCAACCAGAGAAGCAGCCAGCAACACCTGCACATTTCATGGGCAGCCCAGCCACTGAAGTACGGAGTAGGTATGGAGTGCAGACTTCACAAGACTTTAGCAAAAGCCTGGTAAGGAAGGCACTTTGAAGTCGCGTCCACCTGTCTGTCTTTCCCGTCTCCACTTGTCCTCGAACCCAAGTGCCGTTGTGTTCAGTGCATACCTGGTCAAAGACACATATGGAGTACACTGGATAGTTACCTATAGCTTTGCCTCCCTTCAGCAGTGTAACCTGACTTCTCGAGTTTTAGTTACGGCCATGAAAGCAACAGGAAAGCTAACGTAAAGATAGAAGTCAGGGACAGATCCTGCTTCAACGCGTGAAACTGCCTGGTGCTAGACCGTCCCGTTCTTGACACTGGAGAGCGCGATGCGGATCACCCGATAAGCTTTAGATGGCGGAGCTCTTATGCCCTGTGACGTATCACGGAGCGACCCCTGTTGGAAATGTTGGTCCAGCTCCCCGTCGCCAGGCAAGAAATACATCTGCAGCTGCAGCCAGTCAAAGTCTTGCGACATCAACAGTGGCGGTCAATCAGTCAACACGTGTAATTCATCGCCAGCATCCTCAACGTGTTCCAGACCTACCTTGCTCTTTTCCACCCTCCTCAACCCCCCTACTTCTTGTCATTTGTGCCCACCCCGCCCTCCCATCTCCGAGTCACGCTGCCAAACTACCGTGCAGCTTGTCACCATCGACAACCTAGTACCTACTAGTCGAAGCCTGCGCTACCTTATCCCGTGCCCTTGCTGCTTTCGACACCTTTCTTCTACAAGACATCTTCCGTCAGCACCAAACTCGTTCCTGCATTTGCCTCATCCAAGCTGTGTCTATCAGGCGCATTGTCGAAACACCTACTCCCAGCCTCGGGGATCTTGAAATTCATGGCCTGGCCTTGGTGAACTTCTCAAATAGGTGAGCTCTCCCTTCAACTCCTGTATCCCTCACGTTTCGTTTCTGCAAACGCGCATTTCTCCATCATGGACCGACGAATTCACCCACAAAGACTAACATGTGGCTTAACGTTACCTTAGACGACCGACAGAGAACTAAGACAATCAAACCGAGACTTCATCCGGACCGTCTCAGGTCCTGTCAAAGATGGAAGAATCAAAACCAGTGGATGTACCTGGCGCCAAAGGCGAGGATGCCCAAACGGACAGCGAGGCTGCTTTCACTCCCGACCACACCGAGACACAATCCGCCCTCAGCGGTTCTCCTCCTGACCACGATGGTCTTCATACCCCGACCCTTGGTCCTGTGAACTCGGGGAGCCCCAAGCTTTCGAGACACGGGTCCTTCTCCGGCAGCAGTTCCTACCAGGAGGACTGGGACGTTTTCCCGCCCCTCGACCGCATCTCTGTACTCGATCTTCTCGACAACTTTGCTCTCCCACAGCAGCTGGAGAAGTTGCAAAAAGGCTTCTCTGCCCAGACGCAAAAGGTCCGCAAGTCCAGGGATGCATTTAAGAACAAGAGCCAGCACGCGCGTGAGCGCATGGTCGACGAGTGGCGGCGACGCGTCCCTACCGCCGACGAGCAGTTAGAAAGATACAGGAAGCGGATGCGCACCAGCGTCGACAAGCTGGGAAAGCAATGGAACGACACTAGGGTGGTTACGATGCGCGAGAAGGTCTCATTCATCTTTGGCGTCATGAATATCTTCGTCAGCGGTCTTCTCATGGGCGGATGGCCCGAGTACTTTCACTTGTGGTACACCGTCCAAGTGCTGTACTTCATGCCTATTCGATACTTCACCTACCATCGTCGGGGATACCACTACTTCCTCGCCGATCTTTGCTACTTCGTCAACCTGCTCCTCGTTCTCAGCATTTGGATCTTCCCTGGCTCGAGACGACTTTTCCTAGCCACCTACTGTCTCGCATTCGGCAATAACGCTGTAGCGATCATCATGTGGAGGAATTCGCTCGTCTTCCACAGTTTCGACAAGGTCACTTCATTATTTATACATATCATGCCTTGCGCAACGCTCCACTGCATAGTCCACCTGTGGCCAGCAGATCTCCAGGCCAGTCGTCTACCTGCCATCTGGGCTCTGAAACACTCCCCTGCTGGCTCAAGTGGAGGCTACGGAAATATCGTCTCTATGCTTGCCTGGAGCTCTGTTCCCTACGCTATCTGGCAGCTTTCCTACTACTTCTTCATTACTGTTCGTCGGCGTGACAAGATTGCTGCCGGTCGGCCGACATCCTTCACTTGGCTGCGCAAGTCATACTCCAAGACTTGGATCGGGAAAGTCGTTCTCTCTTTGCCAGACGCCCTGCAAGAATCTGCCTTCATGCTGATCCAGTACTCGTACGCGGTACTCACCATGCTTCCCTGCCCCCTGTGGTTTATGAGCAGGTATGCCTCGGCGGCATTCCTCTCCATCGTCTTCACCTGGAGCGTATACAATGGAGCGACCTACTACATCGACGTCTTTGGCACACGTTTTCAGAAGGAGCTCGAAGCACTGAGGGCCGAGGTCAAACAGTGGCAGAACACACCCGAAATAGGCGGCCAGTCGCCCCTGATGACGCCGAATCCCGAAGGGTCCGCGCCGAGCGAGCTGCACCTCACAAACAGCCAAGACGGAGCAAGTGGCAACCTCAACTCGGCTTACAAGCACGAGAACACGGTCATGGAAGAAAGCATAAAGGCCGGTGCGCAGTCCGATCGGATTCCGCTGCTGAGCGAAGAGCTCTCGGCCCAGGGGGTAGCCAGTGGGATTGATGGGGGTGCTAGAGACGTGGCCAAGGAGAGAAAGGCAGCGGGGGCATCTTGAGCTGTCACGTTGTGGAGGAAGCCTTCCTAAGAGCTGGGTGCTACTACCTGTTATGACCCCCTTGAATTATGGTTTAAGCGCGAAGCGATCATCATGTCACTACGAGGAGTACATGGTCTGCCTGTTTTGTCTCATCAAATCGATATCCATTGAATATCCGTAAACTCTTTCTCGTCAAGTACTTCTCGCCATGCTACTTGGTTTGACCCCGAAACAGCGGGGCCGAGCTATGGTCTCTCCGTCTGTGTATGAACAAACCTCCCCCAACCTTTTAGCCGGGATCGTGATATTACATTCTCGTGGGCCTTGCACCTCGGAGCTTATCGCCATATCGAGAACATGAGGTGAGCAAGGTTTGTCTTGTCCATTTACGCTTGGCCGAGGAGGGGTTGCCCATATCACCCACCCCTCGACCAATACTGTGTGATAGATGCTATTTGAGCGCTTGAGCCTATGGATGGATAAAGATGACTTCGGCACCTCCTCTTCGTTGAGCAAAACTCCAACCTTCCACGTGTCCCATGCTCTCAAGCCGTTTGAGCTGAGCTGTGTTGTTCGTTTGGCCGTTTCCTCTCATAAACCACCCGCTGTAAAGCCAGATGATAAAAAGGCTTTTTTAAATCACATTCCCCCCAAAAACATGAAAACCCGAGAAACAACAATGTCCTGTAAGCCCCAACCCCCAATCTGAATGACGCCCATTCCATGCACATGATGCAACCGGTAACTGGGTATTTACGTTTCCTCTTGCCCATCAACATTTCCCAAGAAACAGAATTCGAGTGCTCGCTCCATATTCCCGCCTGCCACTAGTCCTGTCCGAAGCCGTTATTAACCTCCCCTCGAGCCAAATGGAAAGGGAGATGTTGGTATAATGTCGTATGCGGAGCCTGCTGCTCCAATCTTCTACCGGATGACGCCCCAGTCAGATAGTCGCCCTCCATCACTATCCTCTCTCGCCCCAGGTCGTCGTCCAAATGCGTTCCAGAATCGTAATGTCTCATCTCCGGCGCCGGTCACAACGGTTCTGCCGTCCGGGCTCATAGCCAGGTAAAGCACACGATACGTGTGTCCAGTGAGACTGACCACCTGCGTCATGGAAGGGTATTTCCATACCACAATCTGGTTTTGACTATAACCGTGCGTCGAGACAATCTCATTGGAGTTCTTGGACCAGGCGATATTGCAGACCTGGCTGCCAGTATCGATCTCGTTGATGACAGATCCGCGGACTGTGTCGTGGAAGATGATGCGTCGATCAGCCGTACCTCCACCCGAAGCCAACAGTCCCCGTTGATGCGGTGACCATGCAATGGCCTTGACAGCTGCCGTGTGATCTGAAAACTTCCACAGCGGTGTCTCGGAAAGCTTATCCCACACCATGAGCTTGTTGTCATTGCCACCGCTGGCAAGCTGGCCGTCTTCGCAGTTCCACTTAAGACCGCAAACCTCCTGCTTATGGCCGACGAGCTTTCGGAGCCACTGGTCGGGGGCCCGCACGTCGCGGTGGTAGATCAGGCGATCGCGAGAGCCAGATGTCAGTATGTGAGTGTTCCAAGCCAGGGAGCCCACTCGTGCCGTGTGGCCTGTCATTGTTCGCAGTCGCCTTGTCTTTTCAGCGTCCCAGATTTGGACGAGGCCCTTGCCGGTCCCGATAGCGATGTGGGTTCCTTTCTGAATCCATGACACGCTCGTTACTGTATCGTCCTCGAGCGTACACAGCTTGTTGACGCGACTTGTCTGAGCATTCCACATGTAAACACTGGACCCGAGCCCGACCCCAAGCACATTGGCACTGCCCCAATCTACCAAGTTGAGGTAGAAATCATCTGCCAAATCAGGCGCGTCGAGAACTTTATAAGGCACTTTACTGACCGCTCTCGGTTGCCTCCGCGGGCTAAGCAGCATCTGTTGACTGTTGAAGCGAACTGGCGAAAGGCTATAGATCTCGGAGCGAGTGTCAAGATTGGGACCATGCCGGCTCTGCGGTGTCCTTGACGGCGTTAGATGACCCGCATTGCCCAGATTCCGCGGAGACATGTAGGAGAACAGATTCTTGTGGGGAGTCGATGGCGTTAGAGAGGATGGAAGAGAGTTGGTAGAAGCGTTGTTTGGCGGGGTGCGAGACCTCGTTGAATCTCGAATGTTGGCAGAGTGCGATGCAGTGGATAAAGTATGCTCAGGAGACATAGTGGGAGGTGTTGCCTGTGGTATTGAGCCTTCAAAGAGCTCTGCGCGGAGCAACGTCGAGAATGTCCGGTTTGCTTCCTCAGCTAAGAACGGTCAGATTTGTCTTCTTCGGGTGAAGGGGCGTAGATGGCTCACTCTTCTGAAAGTGTAGCTCTCCGTGAGGAGTACGCTTCTTTTGTTTGGACGGTGTCGCTGGGGAGCCATCTTCGTGTAGCAAGTTGAAGCTGGCTTGGAGGTCCTGGCCAGTTCGTGTCGGAATAAATCTGGCAGAAAAGACTTAGTAAATAGTGGTTGAAGTTGATCACGGGATGTACACCTACCTGTCGCCATTGATTCTCTGGCGCTTCCGATGTGGGCTTGCACCAGGTGTGCTTTCCCTCTGTGATCGGTGGTGCATCTCACGTAGCAAAGCACTGTCGACGGCGTCGGGGTCGAAAGCACTGGATCGAGCTGATTCACTAGGTCTTCTGCTGTGTTGAATCTTGCGCTGGTTTGTATTTTCCAAATATTGGCGGTTCTCGACGAGACCTCTGTCGGAAGGAGGGGGGGGTGTTGCGAAGCGAGTGGGTGTCGCGGTTGCTGAATTGCTTGCATCAGCTACTGGTCTTTTGATGGAACCAGAAGCGCTGAGGGCAGCCGAAGAATCGGTCGGGAGAGTCATCTTGACTTTTTTGCAACAAGCAACGGAGATCGTCCGTGAGAGTTGCGCGAAGAGGCTGAAGTCTAGCGAAGGCGGCTGGGACGAGCGTCGTCGGGGGATGTGGCGGGGAATGATAAAGCACACCAAGCACCGACACCAGTGCGGGCCTCAGAGAGCGGTGGTCGTGTCGTCGCAGTTGAGAAACTGGGGCGACAAAAGCTATTCAAATGATGCGCTCGCAGTGTTCGGAGAACGAAGTCGTTGCTCGAATTATCGGCGAGTCGTCTTGGCCGGTCGGCGCGGCATACGAATCACCACCTTATCCCTGACGGCGGTATTCAAATCGTTGTCATTCGCATGCTTTTCCCTCAGGCGGTCGCAAGAACTCGGGCGCCGGCGACAAGCTTCTGGGATTAATGGCGCAAAACGGGTCGAAAAAAATAATTAGTCGAGAGAGAGAGAAGAAAGAGAAGACAGCAATATGGGCGTCGACGGGTGGTGAAAGGCTGTCGAACGTTGAATTGAGTGCAGATTCGAGATGTCTGAGGCCACGGGGTGCAGGCTGGAGTCGCAGGAAGCGGCAAGAGCCAGCGGCGGAGGAAGGCACGATGATGAGTGGTTGGGCGGGTAGGAAGGTGCAAGGTAATGGAGGTACCAGGTGAGGTAGGTAGGTGCGGCAAGGTCAGTATGTACCTCAAGGCGACAAGCACCGCGGTGGTGAGGTGCAGCGGTTCTAATCGTGACGGGAAGGGGTCCAACAGCCAGTAAGGTGTAACCCGTCCAATACTGGTCACAGTCTAGTATCACCCAACCTCACTCGGGCAAGCATGCCAGGGCAGAACGGGCTGTTGTCGGGGCGGGGGGAGGGGACTCCCACTTAGAGGATGGAAACCACAAAACTCAAGGGCGTCGAGGAGGTTGAACTGGGGGAGTCGCGGCAAAGGGAGAGACGCTATTCTTGTTATGGCTTTAGCGTAGACGGCAGAGCAACAAGAACAACAGCAGCGGTCCCTTCGGCCGCTGTCTGGGTAAGGTACGCGGGCACGCATCACGCACTTCCATTCAGGTACTTTGACTACTATGCACCTTAGGGACTGTTTGGTGGTTTCCAGAGGTACCTTGGTGGTGCACGTTGGCCTTTGGACGCGACTGGCGAGGGAAGAGAAAGGGCGTCTGGCGTGACTGGCGTCAGTAGGTCCCGCACGGCAGGGTGGGGAGGGAGGGGGACAATAACATTGACCGACAACCCAAGGGGGAGGGAACCGGGATGGGGAGACGAGACTGGGGATGGCGAACAACAACAACAAACATCCCGTCCCGTCGCCTGTCGTTCAAGGGTCAGCGCGATCGAATGTTAGAACTGAGCACAGAGTTGATGTTTCTTTTCTCTCCTCTTGCAAAGCCCGTGCAAGCAACATGAGGTAGAACAAACAATCGAGAAAACATATAGAGTAGGTACCTCGACTTTGGCTGTTGACTTTTAATTTAAGTACTTCGTCCAGGAAACTATATCAATAGTTGCTCCTGCCCTGGCTTGCTTGCACATTATAGTTCTATTACGTGTAGATCTCATAACAACACTTCGCCATCACAATAGTATGTTGTTTCGACTCGTGCGTGTTTCTTGCCTCTCACTTGTCAAAGGCACCCCTCACTATCAGCCAAGGACTACCTCCTTGTTGAGGGAAAGCCACAATAAGTTTGACAGTAGTGTCAAGCTTGTCAACTATGAGAGATTGAAGCAATTGCTCTGAAAGTATGCACGCAATCTACGTTTTCGAACTCCCTACGGTATTAATCATCATCCGATGCGGTTTCAACTACGCTAGCCACGCTGCGTTATCGAGACCTAAGTAGGCTTTGGCATGAGTGTTGATTGAGATTGGGAAACGTCCTCGCACCCACCCACAGTCAGAGACAAAAGAAGCTATGCAAGGCACAGATGGGACGGTACGGGACAAGACAAGACCAAAAATGGGATGGCAGTCGCGATGAAACGCTCCTTGTTATCCACGTAAACGTGAGTTGGCGTCAGTTTTGGATGTTTGTGTGTATGGACAAAAGTATGTCTTCACGCTTTCCCCTCTTCCATCGCGCTTCCATAGTACTTGGGATTCGGCAAGAACATTGTCGCGTCGCCAGTCTCGTCAAAAGAAAAATAAAGGCCGTGTTGCATTCCAGCTAACACGATTCCCGCCTCCCTTGCGCAAAGAGGGGGCTGGGAGAATTGTTTTTGTTTGTGTGTTTTTTTTCTTTCTGGTCAACCTAAGCTAAGTTTCAATGGTCCAAATTCGGGCCATTGGGCACCTGCCGCACCTTGCCATTTAGCACCCTCGGGAACTCACAGCCAGTCGACACGTGCTGGGCGCTCTTGTTTTGGCCCCTTGAGTGGGGGCCTACGGATACACCAGGCCAAAAACTGAAAGAAAACCAGCCTCCGTGGTGTCGCAGAAGCCAACCGATGGAATCTCGTAAACAATAGCGGTAGCCATCAACTATTCATCCTCCAAAAGCCCACAGCAGGATTATCGTTGGCCGTGTCTTGCTAACATGATGAGGAACTGAGCGCAGGATTTAGGAGACTCATCCTCGATGCTGGTTGATTCTAGTTCCGGGTATGGAGCTCGAACGCTCGAGCAAAGGTCCCTTGCCTTACGTCATTGAACGCTGAACAAACGGACGAAGATAAACAATGGTGGCCAGCTATAGCTACGCGATGCGACGCGTTTCTTCGCGTAAAGCACTCTCGCGCTTCCAAAAAGGGGTTACACGACCTGTTGCTGGACAGTTTCGATATGCGAGTGCGCACTGTCACTTCCCACTGTAAGATAGGTATGTATTAGATAAGCAAGCACGTGCTGCTCTGGACTAGTCTCAAATGCTTACATAAGGTCGAAGCTGCACTGGAGCTTTCGTAGACTGACAGGCAGTGACGCTCCAAATCCCGACCTAAATGCAGGAACCTTGAGCTGATCTATGGATACGGATAGCTGGCTAGGTTTTCATGTCGTCTAAACCCTTCCAGCGTTCCTTCATGCACAACACTCAATAGCCCAGCACCCAAACCTTTCGCTACTTGACGATCCATACGCCGCAGCACGCACGGCGCACTCTCAACCCCCACTCCCCTGCAGAAGAGCTGGTCAGGAAATAGCCTGATATTATCCTCAGACTGTTACACAGGATACATGGCCTTTTCGGGACAGAGGCTCCTCGAGTGCCTGCCGCCAATCTTCCCAAATTGACATACGGCTTTTGACTCGTTGGCCACATGCAATGATCCAATCCCAACAAGCAGATCCCTCCCAATCCCCGGTTCCTATGGGGTAACCTGACATACCTGCTCGACCGAACTCTCGGAACCCCGCCAGCCGTTCACAGCTTGTGTGAAGCTACCTGCTATTTGCTCCATCGAACAAGGCAGCTCCCCGGCGGAAATCATCTCTCCCCGCTTACACGAGCTGTCAGGGCCAAAAGCGAGACGACAAGTACAGACAACGGCATACAGAGTATGGATACAGATAGAGTTTGCTTGAGGCTCTTGCATCAACGGCTCTCGCCTTGTTTACAAAGCTATTCCCGGGATACTTACACTGACGGAAGGGGTCCAAAGGAACGTGGGAAACTAAGCAATCTCCGGGTCCTGTCTTTTTTCGCATCCTTGTCCGAGAAACCAACAGCGCTTTAGCCATGACTCCCGGGAACCCTTGAGCCCCTTCGTCAGGAGGCAATGATACGTATTGCTGGCTGTATCCATCCACAACCAGAGAGGGCGTGTTACCTTCGCCCACCATGCGCTAGAACAGACTCGGCTCTCATTTTGGCTGTGGCTTTTCGCTGACAGTGACAGACAGCGTCATCCCTGATTGCAATGATGACTAGGTACACCCGCCACTCAACACTAATCCGTACTGCAGTAATACTTCGTGCCGTCCACAATACTGGTACTCCTCCTTCCGAGGTTCGCAAGGCCACGAGCCGGCAACGCTTGGTTCCGGACGCATTTTGGTGGGACGTTGACGATGACATACTGGCACTACTGAGAAAATGCCTTTCCGTCACGGTTTTATCTCCTCCAGGCTCCATTACTCATTCAGCCCAGTCTCCGAAGCTCTGGGAGCTGATCTGCTCTTCTGCCATGCCGCTGGCAACATGAGCTTTGTTCCGCTTTGCCGCGTGGGTGTCTTACTTCGGGACCTTGGCGATCTATCTCGCCGCGTGCTCTTTCTATGCAATTCAATTGAACTATCCGCAGATCGTCGACGAAATATGACCTGTTGTGTTGGAAGTCGATTGCTCGATGCGAGAAGTGATAGCCCTACGGATGCCGAGGAGTTAACCCTCGTGATACCGAAACCCCACGTCCCCCAGCAGCTCAGTGGCGGGACCTCAGAGGCTCGAACAGCATTGATTGACACAGACGCGGACAAATTCGCGCTACAATATCAGGGAGCCCATCCATCTGTTCGCGATCAACAAGAGATCGTAATACCGGCAATACAGATTCACGACTCAGGTAACGCATTCTGGTTGTTCTCGACCGTTTGTAATTAATCTGTGGTAGCGAATTAATCGTATAGGGAATTCGATATCATCTCCAGGCCATCTTCGAAAATGATATAGTCCGACCGCCGATTCAGGCTTCAGATCGCAGCTCCGAGGATCGAGGGGATCGAAGAAAGCGCGGGCATCGAAGAAATATAGTCTGGCTCCTTTCCGACGGTAAGCTCTGCCATGCTCCATGGTATCGGTCCCAAACATTGGAGCGAGCGATATGACGCGAAGGTTGATTAGGAGATAGTCCATTTGCTAGCTCGACTGTCAAATGGCACTCGCCAGGCCGTGAGCGCTGCCCTTTTGCCCGATTAGGACACTGGTTGAGGTCCGGGTTCTGGGCCGCAGTGGGGCCGGAGCCGAATTGGTCCAAGTCTCGAAGCGTGGGATTCATGGGGGTCCTGAACTCCTGGAGGTTTCTCGGCAAATCCTTGCTGGGGCAGCCTCGAGAATGGAGAAAGCCAAGAGAGTCCGAGTCTGCAACTACCCACGGTTCGCTGAAGAAATCTCGATTCTCAACCCCCAGCATCCCCGTCTTTGCCAATTGAGGTAGCACAGACAGCATTGCTCTCTTCCATCTTCACGCCCAATCCTACATTACCTGGCTATGTACTGTGGCATGGTGCCAGGTGGTTAACAAGACCGCCATAGTCAACCTGCAGTGTATCCGTACACGGCAACCTGAATTCTACAGAGGACCCCAGGCAACTCTCTTGCCGAAGTTTCGTCTTGCCCTTTTCTCGACCATTGCTGTTGCGGCGGACATGGTGAAATGCCACCACTGGGAGGTCACAACTTGCAGCAAGAGGTACACATACCTTAGCATCTTTCACGGCCAGTGCCTGAGTCAAGATGGCAGCAGAAGATGCAAGCGTAGCAGGGGAGTAAACGGACACGGAGACAGAGAATGGTGTGTACTGATACATTGTCGAAAGAAGGTAACCATATTGCATATGCACTCTGGTCACTCTACCACCTCCCGAAACTAACCTAATGCTAGGAAGCTGGTTGTGCTTCCCCGTCAAAGCCCGTCTATGATCTATCTCCTGGCTTGACATCGCCGTCTGTTATTTTCTTATTTAGCATGGCTAACACCAGGCCTGACGTCTTGATTGGTAACACTGCAGAGCGCGCGAAACAGTTTTGCAAGTGCCGATTTGGGTCGGAGCATTCATGTCGCCCCCCTTTAGCCTTTTCTTGACATATCAGGATGGCCCTGGCATCGCCGAACCGTTGACAAGAACATTATGGATGACGACGGCTTGGTTCACCCGAACCAAAAAGCCCCCAAAGGCCGTGCAGTGTCCGTGGCTCAGATGAGCAATGGGGCTAACCCCAACCCGTCAGCAAGTGTCTAGGTTCTGCCAGAAAACCAAACAAAGACTGCCCGGCGTCCAGGTTCTGGCCTCTTCAGCCTTCAGAAATCTCTTTTGCAAGGTCAGGAGCTATACTCAGCTCTGCTAGTGGGCGATCATTCTCCGCTCGGCCGTCGAATGGCATTCTTCCATAACCACACATCGTGGGAACCTCCTTCTCGCGCAGACTACTGCAACGCAACGCTGTGGGTTTTCGCCCATTCTTGTTTGATTGCCGCCCATGTTGGCGCCTTGCTGGGGACCCAGCCTTGAAAGAGGGCAGGGGACGGGTTCACGGGTACCTGACGAAAAGTATGTTGGCTCTATCCATATGTAGGCAAATGTGCCTGACATGCCCGCTTGCGCTTCTTCCGCCTCGCCCGTCAATAGTTTAGTATCGGCGTCCGTCGATCTTTGGTCTCGCACACCCTCCTAGCTTGCTATCTGCTTCGTCTCTGCAGAGCCCCTCTCCTTTGATCGCCTCCCCGCTGTTCTATACGGCGCCGTCCTGCTCTCTGGCTGTATGACGTTGTGGGATGCCCATGGCTGGTGCGCCCCACGGCTATCTTCCTTTGACATTTGATGCTCATCCTCTTCTCCTACGATCAGCCTTCGTCCAAACCCAATATAAATCCTTCTTCATTCCCCCAACGCCCGTGATAATGCCCCAATCAACAGATACATCTGCGGCCCGTGATCATTCTGGACCACGTTCTGTATTAGCACTATTCCGGCGAAAGAAGCACATGGCTCAGGTCGCTGCCGCTCACAGCACAAACCACCGCCGACACAGGCACGGTGAACTCACCCAACCTCAAATGAACGGCTACAGCTCTCTCAGTGTCACGTCTCTGCAAAGTCAGAAGCAGCAACAAGTAGACTTTGACGAAGGCGGCGCCGATATTCCTGACATTCCACTGAAGCGTCCAGTTACCAAGATGCATCAGGACCGCCCCTTGAACCCGTCGAGGTTCCAAGAGGCCTGGGAGGATGACGAGGATAGGAACTGGACCGCACATCATGGACATGGGCCCATCAATCCCAATACCATAGCCCCTCGGCCAGATAGAAGGTAAGAGGAGAGATGTATCTATTGTATAAGTCGAGAGCAATGTCGGCTAACACCTCACCAAAGTGCTGTTCGTTCTCCTGACATTCCCCCAAGAGAAAGAGGCAGAGTAAAGTCTCCCGAACCTCTCCACGCTCAGCAGCGGCAAATGTCCTCAAGCCCACCAAGGAGCCCTAGAACACGTTCTTCAAGGTCCAGGGCCAACTCGACATCGTCCTCATATCAAACAAACAATACATCACTCCCAGCTCTCCAGACGAAAGGCGCTGGCGATGACGAGATTCTCGAGCCCTTGGCAGAAGAGGAAGTCGAGCCTGGCTCGTTTGACCTAGTAGTCCCATCTCATGGCGACAACGGACAGTACTCGCTGGAAACCCGCTCCGAGCTTCTCTTCTCAAAAGACCATTTGCAGGCCATTTTTGATGATCACTTACTCCTCCAACGTTTTACCGACTTCCTTCACCATGCCCGACCCGACTCGCTCCCCCTATTGACCTACTTCTTGGACTGCTTAAAAGCACTCCGGGCCATTGCGTATGCCAACGCGATCGCGGGTGGCCTCGACACTCTGCCCGGACACGAATTCTCAATGGCAAACACCGATAGCACAATCAACAGCTCCTTGAGAAAGAAGGCCGAAGCTGCTTTCGACGTGCTTGTTCAGCAAGATCTTCCCGCCTACATAACCCATACTTGGATCCAGACCGTCAGCGTGTCAATCAAGAGGCGTATCACAGGCACTCTTCCGGTTCAGCTCAGAGAAATGTCCGAGGGTTTGGCAGAAGTGTTCTGCTTGACGGATCCTTCGAGAAACGACAACCCCATTGTCTTTGCTTCCGAGGGTATGTATATACATCCGTCTCCTTATCCATGTTCCACAGCAGCTGACTGTCACTTACAGAATTCCACCGCACGACTCAATACGGCATGAACTATGTCATTGGCCGCAACTGCCGTTTCCTACAAGGTCCAAAGACCAACCCCTTTAGTGTACGACGTATCCGCGACAAGATCCTGGCTGGAAAGGAGCACTACGAAACCTTCCTCAACTACCGCAGAGACGGCTCCCCGTTCATGAACCTCCTCATGGTGGCGCCGCTATACGATAGTCGCGGTACAGTCCGCTATTTCATCGGCGCTCAAGTCGACGTCTCCGGTCTCGCGAAAGAAAGCTCGGGTCTGGATGCCCTGCAGAACCTAGTCGTCGAGAAGGAGGCCGTCGGCACCATCAACGGCCAAAACCAGCAGCAGCGACACGACAACGAGGAAGAAAAGGACGAGTTTGAGGAGCTCAGCGAAATGTTCAACATGAACGAACTCGAAACCGTACGCAGACGCGGCGGAAACATGCACCGCGTCCCGCAAGATGAAGGCCAGGCCGCATCCTCGACAAACTGGCAAAAGCCACGCATCCTAATCCAGGACGAGTCCTCCTCCGTCCATCAGTCCAACCCAGCTGTGCCTCTGACGAGCGGCAAGCTTTCCGGCGTCTATGAGCACTACCTCCTCGTCCGGCCCTACCCCAGCCTCCGCATCCTTTTCGCCTCCCCCTCCCTCCGCCTCCCGGGCATCCTTCAGTCCAACTTCATGGACAGGATAGGCGGCTCCAACCGTGTCCGCGACGGCCTCTCCCAAGCCTTCGCCGACGGCCACGGCGTCACCGCCAAAGTCCGCTGGCTCACCAAGTCCAACAGCGAAGGCCGCGTCCGCTGGATCCACTGCACGCCCCTGCTGGGCAGCAACTGCGCCGTAGGCGTCTGGATGGTCGTCCTTGTCGACGACGAGTCCGAGGCCGGCATGAAGCGAGGTAATCAAGCCCCGCCCGTAGACGGTCGGCTCCGGAGAGCCCCCGGCATCGCGCAGCAGTTCCAGCAGCAGCAGCAAGCCGGGTCGCAACACCGTCCCTCCGTCGACGACAAAATGTCCCTCTCGAGCTTCGCCGCCATGAACCGCGCCCGCGACGAGGTCCAGGTCGACGCCCCCGTCGACTTTGACGTTGACGTCCCCTCCGACCGCCCTGGCAGCCGCGCCAGCCGCGCGAGCAAGTCGAGTCGGCTCAGCCGGGGTCCCGTCAGTGCGCAGCGTCGACCTCTAATCCCGGGCGGTTTCGATGACCCCGACGGAGGGCCATCCCGGCCTGCGTATACTGTAAGGCTGGAGGAGGATTAGTCAGTCATAAGCCTTGTGCTCAATTTTTCTGTTTGTCCCTTGCAAAGTTCTTTGCTTTTCCCTGGAGGGGCGGTGTTCCGGAGGTGCCGTTGGTGCTGATCTACTTGATACCATTATAATTCTGTGCATTAATTTTAGCCTTGTTAATTGGAAATCCTCGCTACAGCGCTGATATAAATCTCCTATACACTGACGGAATTGGAGGAAAAGAGAGAGCAGAATGATAGTAAATTAATCTTACGTCACGAAGGAGCAGCCGCTGAACTGCATTTCTGACTCAAACTGGGTGTGATCAAGCTGTAAAGCGAAATTTCTCGTTTTTGACAGCAACCAGCTGATTATATGTAAGCAAAAAAGTAGCCACATTCGCCATGTAAGCAACCCTAAACTGGACATTGCGCCCTTTTCGATCATCTGTTTACCCGCCCCGGCCCTGCGTAATAATGCGACGTGACCTAGCTTCCCGTAGGGGTTTCTGAAGTTTTTGCAGTATCACGTAGCATGACTTTCAACCGTCTTGACTTTGAATCTTGTGTCCTGCCATCTGGTCATTGACTTTGCGTCGCAACAGAGTAGAGTCTGAATAGAGTGAAAGTTCTGTCTTCAAAATAAGAACTCTACTGTCTGCTCTTAGCATTTCCTTCCCTTCGTAGGTGCAATGATACCTGCTCAGCCATGGCTCTTCGTGTTTCATCGACTCGTAAAATTCATGTAGTCTAATAAGTTTGCGAGCACTGAGAATCCCGCCAAAGATCCCGGATCTACCCAAAAGCACGCCGTTGAGTTCTATCGCCCGCCTGACCAAGACCTCAAAATCCAGTATTAGCCAAACTCTGGGAACGTGAGTAATCCGCCTCTCGAACCCGCAATGGCAGTAACCACAGTCACCCCTATCAAACCTTCCATCCCGTAGGGCACGTATAAGCGTACTCAAGCCTGTGCAGCGCCGGCTTGCTCCAGCAGGCGTGCCCGCCAGCTGTTGCACACTTCCTCGAACCCTCCGACGACATCTCCGCATACGCCCGCGCACTCGCGATTGGCCAACCTCTCGCTCCAGTTGCCTCGGTTGATCCACCTCTCACCCTCATCCCGGAGCTCTTCTTCCCTCTTGATCTCGGCTACCAGCTCTTTGGCGCTCTTCAACCGACGCGTGGCCGTTGTGGTCGTTTGCCTGGACATGTGAAGTGTGTCTGAGAGGTAGTTGAGGCTCTGGACGAGGTCCGAGGTGAGGGTGTGGAGGGCTGTGAGGGAGTCGTAGGCTTTCGTTGTTGGTCGCGGCATCGATTCGGATAGCTCGATCAAAAGGGGTAGCAGCTCATCGATGGTCTCCGAG